AAGTACTGCAGACTCTTGTGATCACTAAATAATCTAAAGGACTAACCCAACAGATAATGCCTCCAAATACGTACGGCAAAGACCACAGTTGCCAACTCCAAATCATGTGTTGGATAATTAAGCTCATGCGGCTTAAGCTTCCGAGATCCATACGAAATCGGTCGCTCCTCCTGCATCAAAACACATCCAAGACCCTGCAAAGAAGCATCTGTGTAGACCAGATACTCTATCCCGCTCTATGGGGTAGACAAACTGGTGCAGAAGTCAACTTAGTCTTCAGCTCATCAAAAGCTTTCTGACAATGCTCATCCCACACAAACCGTACACCCTTCTTAGTCAGATGAGTGAGTGGTCCTACTATCTTTGAGAACCCCTGGATGAACCTCCTGTAATATCCTGCCAAACCGAGGAAACTCCAAATCTTGGTAGGTGAAGTAGGCTGTCCCCACTCAACCACTGCTGAAACCTTGGCTGGATCCAACGCTATTCCTCTTTCTAACACCACGTGACCCAGAAATATCACCTCCCGCTGCCAAAATTCACACTTCTCAAACTTGGCATACAACTGGTGTTCACGAAGCGTCTGCAAAACTATCCGTAAATGTCTAGCATGATCGTCCTCAGACTTAGAATAGATAAAGATATCATCAATGAAAATAATGACAAACTGATCCAAATAGGCTTTGAAGACCCTGTTCATCAAATCCATGAAATCCGCTGGTGCATTAGTCAACCAGAACGGCATCACCCGAAACTCATAAGATCCATATCTAGTGAGAAACGCTGTTCTCGGAACATCCTAAGTGTGCATGTCCAGGACCAAAAGATTGGCTAGAAATCTGAATCTACCAATATCTAGTGCAACAGGCCCATCACTCTCATGAAGAATGGCTGTATTGCCTAACGGTGTAGAAATTCCATAAGGTCTACTGCATACCCGAGTCGTCATCCCAGACAAAGCAACAAAAGTCCTAACTACAAATGAGTGGGTAGCACCCATATCGAACAAAACACATCCAAGTAAACCATGAATAGGAAACTTACCCTTAACAGCCTGAGGTGCCTGCATATCCTGTGGCATGGGATTGTACACCCTGCCATAATGTAACTGCTGCGGTGCCTGTCCTTGAGGCTGCGTCGACGCTGGTAAAGCCGAATAAGTCTGTCCCTGAATCCGTGGAACCTGTGGAGCTGGTAGAGGCACTGGCGCTCTCTGCTCCTGCTGCACATGCTGTCCCTATCCCTGTCTCTGTCCCTGTCTGGCTGTAGGACACTATCTGGAAGTGTGACCATACTCTCCACAAGTATAGAAACTACCCTGGAAAGTACCAAATGACCTCATCTGTCGGTTAGCTTGTGGCTGACCCTGTCCTGCCTGCGGTCCCCCATTCTGCTATCGCTGAATAGGTGCCACATCCCTAGGAGCATCTGAACCACCATTGTGCTTCTTCCAAGGCTACTGTCCCTGGAATTTGCCCTTGTCATGCTGTCGGTACCCGTTCCCATTCCCTTTCTTAGCTGACTGATTAGCAGAGTCTCTATCACCCCGCTTCTCACTCTTAGCTTGTCTGAAATCCACGGTCAACTGATACTGCTGTAAAGCGGCGTCTACCACCTGAGCATAGGTAGTATAGGCTAGACTACCTGTAATAGCTCTCTCGATAAACCACATCAGTCCCTTGACGAAACTGTTGCACTTCTTCTCCTATGTATCCACCTCCTCCGGTGCAAAGAGAGACAACCGTGTAAACTACTGCTCATACTCCGCTACTGTCATGTTCCCCTGCTGCAGATTAAGAAACTCAGTCTTCATGGCTGCCTTGACTGCATAAGGGAAGTATTTCTCTTCAAAGTGTGCACTGAACTCATCATAAGTCAATGCCATCCTCACCTCTGTGGTGGTAACTGACTCCCACCACTGTAGTGCGTCCCCAACGGGATAATTTTGTAGAGAAAAGGTTTGTAATAATACAACTTTCGAAACAACAAAAGAAGAGGAGTTAAAACAGGTGAATTAATTAATGACGAGGTCAATGAAGCTTCCCAATTGTATGTCCAAGTTTAATCAGAAATTTGTTTGGATGCAAGTGAAGACAAATCTGTTATTGAAGAAGTGGATGATGGTAGTGAGATGTTGAGTAATGGAATAGACCCAGATTTAGAGGACAAGGAAAATAATGCCTCGAAAGAGTTTAAGCACGGGATCAAACATTTAAAGATGATACACTTTTGTACGCTACAGATAGAGGTTTCAGAAAACCTACTAAACTAGAGGGCGATCTGTTGATTCAAAACACGCTTAAACTCTTCTGCAATAATGAGTGGTTTTACCTTCCAAAAAAAAAAACATGAGTAGTCTTGTGTTACCTGTTGGAGATTTGATCACCAGAATTTCTTATTGGTGGTAACAAATCCCCACCTTGTGGATGCCATTCAAGCTCTAGGGGCGCAACTCGGACGGGCTAATCCGGATCAATCCGAACTCAGCTCGAAAATTTTCTAGTTGGGGCTTGCTAATTTTTAGTTCTGGTTAAACTCAGGTTGGGCTTTTCTTAAACCCAACTGAATTCGGGTAGGTCTCATTGTGAATGACCTACTAATTCCTTGTGAGTGATCTTGATCCAACGGTTGATACCACACACCTAAATCTCTCTATACTCTCTCTCTCTCTCTCTCTACAAAGGTAGTGATTTCGAGCCATTCTCTCACATTTTCTCCGAGGGTTATTCAATTGGAATATAGGGTTTCTCGTTTTGGGTTTCCCTCCTTACATTTTAACTTTGATTTCAGATTGCTAGCATTTGTTGTTTTGAATCCATATATATGATTATTTTCTGCTAAATTATGGTTTTACTGAGCGACAGCATTTCTCTCTCTATATGTATGTGCATATATATATCTCTACTTTGGCGGTGGTTGCAAAGTGGACGTCTTGAATTTTTTTTTGTATGTATGTTTATATATATCTAATTTGGTAGCGCTTGCTAAGTGGGTCTCTTGATGTTTTCGATAGTTCATTCATCTGTTGAAATAGCTCTGTGGTTTGTTTGGTTGCTGTAAATATGTAAGAAAGAAATCATGAATTTAAATAACAGGGTTTTTTATTTTGTTTTTGGGGTACACTGAGATTAATGTATTTCTAGAATTTTTTTTTTTTTTTTTAAAAAAAAAAAAGAACAAACATGTAATTCTCCATGAAAAATGAGTAGGCCAAGATGCTCCATTCAAAATGTTCGAACATGTTTTTGTATTCCTTATTCAGTTTTTATAAGATGTCAATTGTTATAAAAAGAAACGGGTATGCATTTGTAATTTAATTAGGTGCCTTTGCAAAAATAAAGAAATTCAAACATGGATGCTTAAATTATTAATGAAATCTTTTTAAAAAAAAAAAAAAAAAAAAAAAAAAAAAAAACCAATTTCATACTTAAGAGAGAAAGGGAGAGAGTTTTGCCCTTTCAACCCGCCCGATCCTGCAATATTCGGGCTTGAGTTGCTGAAAGAACCCAATTCATGTTTGGTCTCGGCCCAATCAGGTTGGGGACCTGGCCTGGGTTGGGACTGCCGAAATTGCACCGGTAAGGCACACCAAAAATTGGCAAATGTTATACGCTTCAAGTAAAAAAAGAGTTGGGCTGATTCTGCACTAGAACAGGATAGGTTGGCCATTTAAAGTTAAAAAGTATTTCTGGTATTGGACCGGTTAGTGTAAAAACACGGCCTGTTCATCATGAACCGTGGAACCATGCTCCAATAGAAGCTCCTAAAAAGTCAAGATAGTCTGTAAACTATAAATTACGATAAGATTATGGATGTCAACACAGCATCAAGCATCATGCATGTTAAATCTAAATCTAAAAGAAAAGAAATGATTATATGCACGTCAAATTCTGAAAATACACAATAATCAAATGTAAATTCTCTCTACATTCTTCAAGAAGCTTGTGCTCTGTGTGAAAGACTGAATTCCTTCAGGACTAGGAAAGTTGTCAGCGGCACAAGAAACATTACAAACTTCGTCTGACCTTTTACCTTGTACCATAGGAGAGTTGTCAGTTGCCACCAAAGCCACATGGATGCCCTCCCTAGTCGCAAGTTCTTGCTCAGGTTCCTCCACTTTGATGATATACTCAGTGCAAGGGAAAAAAAAAACATAATTTCTTACACAACTTGTGAAAATCATGCAAATGATGGATACAAAAACCCCATTTTTCTAACCAAAAAGGCCAAATCCTTTTTTACTCTCACAAGTAGGAAGTATGAATTAACATCTCAGTTAAAATCTCATATTTCCATAAGGACTTGATTGAGAGCATAATTTTTCAACTCCTTTAGCATTCAACCTTCAAAATCTGCCTCTACAGTAATTAACTCTAAAACAAACAAAAAAGAAATACTTAATACAATAGAAATTAAATTAGTTCCTTGTTACTTCAAGCATGTTCTATAAATCCAATAGAACAAAAAATTATCAAATGCACTCACATTTTCTTTAAGAAACTCTCCCAATAAAACCAAAAGAAAATATATATATATAGTAAAAATGATAACCAAAATATATTATTATATTATTCAAAAAGGAAAAGGCTTCTTGTGAAATGCAATCATTATGTATGAGTTTTCTTTGCATAACCAAATAATATTAATAATGATGATAGAAATGACAGTACTAGATACTACCTGCAAAGCAAACATCATTAATCAGGGTGACTCAACTGACATTAAACCAGCTGCCAAAATCATTTACGCAATGCAGCAAGTCAAAAGGATGATAAATAAGCAATCGCAGCTTGAGCTCCAGATGCAATCAGGAACGGAAAAGGCACTTACAAACCATAATAAGCCAAGCAATCTATGAGACAATAAAACTGGTAACAGAATATAGAAATCACAGTTCAGCAATGGATTATAATTATAACATAGTTTACTAACCCACAGAAATATCATGAGCATGTGTTATGTGAAGCATGAAGAAACCATCAAATGAGCTTATTAGTCAATAACAAAAACACTGCTGATTAATTAATCTAATGAAAATTCTGGAGAGTCTTGACGTTCTCTGCAGGAAAACCCTACTACCTGCTCCCCAACACTTTTTTAGAAGCAAAAATATGGGAAGCAAAATACTACATTGTTTTGAAAACATTAAGGAACAAAAGTACTTAAATAGAAAGGAAAATACATGTTTAACAAAAGTACTTTAATAGAAATGAAAATACAGGTTTGAGAATCGGGTCTTTAAGCAAACAGTAATTTTTTGCTACAAATATAAAGACGTCATTTGCATGATTGCCCGGAACTTCAGAAGAATCACCAGAGTCCAAAACTAAAAAGATTGATGCATCTATGTAGGAATCTGCACAATGAATACGTAAAACATAAAAAACTTTCTTCAAAATCAAAAGTTTTCCAGCAGAAAAACATATATAACTGAAGCTGAAATTTTCATACCTTGGATGAAATAAAGTAACAATTTTCGAAGAATAAATGCTGGTGTTAAACCAACCAAGATGCATGCAAGAGATTTTTTTAACAAAAATGAACTAGTAATGTAATGGGTATGAAATTTAGGAGAACCTGGCCTCAAAAGATGAGAGTTAAAATGCATATGCGCTGAGAATCAAGTTAATATTGTATGTAAGAATCAAATATTTCTCAAAAGCATTTCTAATGCATATATAAAATTGCATTAGTCACCCATATTATAACATAAAAATTGATTAGCTTTATAGCAGTACAACAAAGGGGAAGGCACTGTACACATATAGCAATATTTTAGTAACACAAAGTTACAGCAATACAGAGTAAAAACAAATATTTGTTGATTGGCAAGAACTCAACTCATATGTGCACCTTTCAAAAAATAAATAATACAGGGTAAAATAATAACTTGGATAACTGACAGATCTATAACATAGTCAATATTTTAACAGTTAATAAAGCAAGACACATCACATGGGGGGGAGAGGGGTGTGAGAATATTATATTTTTATGCCTAACAAGTGGAGCATACATATTAAGCCGGTCATCAAACTGGAAATCAAACACTTAACCATTTCTCAGCCTACAAATCAACATTGAACAACGGCAATAACCCATATATGGCACTCTCAGTCCATGATCATTGGGAACACAAAACTTGAAACCACGATGCCCCCCAAAAATTAATAGCATCCTGATAAACCCAATTGATCAACACAGATCTGCCTTGGGAAGACATGGGAGTGAAGGGACAATAAAGGATCATTACCAATGATGAAATTAAAGCCCAAGGAACAACTCCAAAAAAAAGTCAGTGAGCTAATAAACAACTATAGGGTTATTATGATGAGGCTTCATGAAGACAGACCAAACATTACTGGTATTGGTAAAAAAAAGAAAAAATTTCAAGAATGCTTCTTATGACGTGCACACAACACTGGTAGAATAACTCTATGGAATGACCTTATAATCATATTACGAACTTTACTTAACCCAGAATAACAGAGCATTTTAACAAGATAGGAGAGAAATGTATAACTTCATAGCAACACCATAAAACGCTTGAAACTTTATGACATGCCTTTATAATAGTAATATGAAACATTAATTTATTCCAGATTTTTTTTATTTTTATTTTTTTTTTTTTGACAAGTAATTTATCCTAGTTTACTCGTCTGACCAAAATAATGCAGACCATTTTAGCAAGATTGGTAAAGAAATTGAGAATTACATTGGGGACCACTTGGAGCTTGTGTAATTAAGTTTCCATAGGATCTTGGTTCTGTGTTGCTAATCTATATTAACTTAACCCTTTTTTCTCAATCTAATTACTCCCGTATAAATGTAAATGTGAAAACGAATTTCAATAGTATTCTTAATTGTTGACAATATACTAGATTAAATCCGCACATTGTATACCTAAGACATGTCAAATTATTGTTCATTGAGAATAGCATAAAGTTTAAAAATATAAACAAGTAAAAATAGATTCAAAGGTTGATAGATTGCATCATGCAATCACCTGGATAACAAATTACGTCTATTACCTGGGGTAGCTATTTACCCCATTCATGTGGTATAAAGGCCAATGCTGCTGACAATGACAAAAAAGGGTTGCATTTATGTTTTGACAGTTTGGAGGAAACAACCTAAGGGGATATCTAGCAGCTATACGATCAGATCTCCAGATGATATTCTTCAAATATACTCCACCGCCCTGATCAGCCTATGTTTTTTTTAAGATTCAACTCAAATCCCTTCTTTTAGAAACATAACCCTTCTGCACTTTAGCTTTACAGTATTTTTCCTTTTTAGTCCTGGAATCTAATAAACTAAGAGACTATCAGCTTATACAGATCCATGCATGATAGAGAGAATCTTTTAGAAGCTTTTAAAAGATCTGATGAAACCCTAACCTAAGGAGATTGTTGTTAGTTTCAAGAATTGGCTTCTATATGGGATTCCAAAAATGAGAAGAAGCCATTTACCCTTTAGGTAGAGGATCTAAGCCCATTTATATACAGCCAAAAATCACTACAGCCGCCACTTACATCAACATCAACAAAACTGGTTTGACTTTTGAGCATTTTGATAATGGGGACTTAGCTGACAATGTAAGAAAGTTGTGAATAGATGAGCCATATTGAATAATATTTGCCACTTAATTCTGCTTGAGCTTCTTTACCATTAATGAAACAACTAATAATGATCTTACCAGGCGGGTGAGAACAAATGGTAACCAGATTACCATAATACATTCTAGCATGCTATTAATATAATTGCTCTTTTAAGTATGACAATCAGGAAGTGCTTACATGGATTTTAAAGGGAAAAGGAAACCAGCCATTTAGCCAACCCACACAGGAAAGCAGGACAGATGAGCCCCAAAGTAATACTATTGGGTTCACTATAAAAAGGGGAAAATGTTCACATTGCTTGTGCGAATTAAAAGAAGGGTAAAAAAGAATTCGAGGGAGAAAAAGGCCACATAGCCAACAAATAAATAAAATTAAGAATTTCATAGTGCACTTGATGCTGCAAAACAGAAGTGGGGGAAAGGCAGAAGTAATCTCATGAATGAAACTACTAAAGAATGGCCAACTAGTAAGCCTTCTTCAGCCTCTAAACCCCAGCTAACACATTGTGCAATTATAAACTGTTTTTACGTTGTTGAATTGAAAATGTTTGATTTTACCATCAAGAATTTAGCCCAAGTGGTACTCCTTCCAAATGGAATGTTGAGGTTTCAAGTGCCCTTAGAGGCAACAGGGTGTGTGTGTAACTTACCTACCAAAACATATATAGTCCTGTGTTTTATTTAAATAAAAAATTATACATGTAATACATATAGTATGAATAGCACAAAGACTCAGACTGGGACAAACTCTATAAATCATACTAAGTTGTGACCTATTTCACTACTAATTAAATCACAAGTAACTAGCAAAATAATACCATATAGAATCAAGCATCAAGCAGCACAAGAGAGAGGGTATCAGGCAAATGAATCATATCTAATATACCATTCACTTACCTAGTGTCCGTGACCCATGTAAGGTGCACCACCCTGATGCGACCTTCCTGCATTGCCCTGCCCCATCTGCCCCATCTGTGGGTTCTGGTACCCACCCTGCATCACAGGCTGGTTCCCATAGCCGCCACCTCCCTGATTCCCATAACCAGTGTTGTTCATCATAGGTGGCACACCTTGGTTCACTGGTCCTCCAAGTCCTCCTAGCAGATTAGGTATCCCCAACCCAGCTCCCTGAGTAGCAAGCAAGGCAGTCAAAGCCTGGCCAAGAGCAGGGGCTAATGCCGGTGCTGCAACTGCTGGGTTGAATCCCACCGCAGGTCCAGATGGTGCCATCAAGTGTCCTGATCCCGGCCCACCACTACCAGACGAATATTTAGCCGCCTTTTCCTTCCTCCCAGAGTGATGATGGAATTGTTGCGGCTGATGATGCTGATGCTGATGCTGATGCTGATGCTGATGCTGCGGCTGATAATAGGGTTTATTCGGTTTTGGACCATCAATTGCCTTCTGGCAATGCAAAGTGTGTCCCTCAAAGATCTTGTGTGGCTCGTCCAGTGCCTTCTTTGCGCTATCAACTGTTTTGTAGACGAAAAGTGCGAACCCTTTTGGCTTCCCAGTTTGCTTATCGAGCCCCAATGGTCCATCCTCAATTTCCCCATACTTTGAAAAGTACTCGAGCAGTTTCTGTGGATCAATGTCTGCAGAAACATTGCTCACAAAAATCTTCCTCTGTGTGTACTCTGAAACCGGAGGTGCTGTGGGCGGAGGGGCCGGAACAGGGCCGGCATAGGCCAACTGGCACGAGGTCATCCGAGTCCCGATCTTCTTCTGGGGCTGCTTGAGAGCCTTTCGAGCCCCACTGCGGTGCTTGAAGAGGATGAATCCATAGCCCTTGGATTTCCCAGACACCTTGTCGCAGACTGCCTTGCAATCCTCGATCTCTCCATATTTGCCAAAGACGCTGGTTAGGGTTTCAGCATTGGTGTCCCAGCCGAGGCCGTGCACGAAGATCTTGCGGTGGGCGGGGTCAGCATCGGCCAGCTTCTGGATGTTTTCCATGAATTCGGGGTACCTCGCAGCAGCTTCTTTGAGGAGAACGACGAGCTGTTCTTTTCCGAAGGGTTCTAGAAGCTTCTCGACCGGTTCTTCGTCACCGTCGATCTCCTCTTCCTCCTCGCCATCTCCGGCTTTCTCACCGCCGTTCGTTTCGGATGGAGCTTCTTGGGTGTCGTTCCAGGAGTTCACAGCATCGTCTCCGCCTCCTTCTTCGGTCTCTTCTTCGTTGTCGTCCTCGTCGTCGTCCATTGGATGTGCTTCTTCATTGGCTTGCTGTTCTAGTTCTTGTTCTTCGATCTCTTGCTGTTCTTGTTCTTCGATCTGTTGCTGTTCTTCCATCTCTTGCTGTTCTTCTTGTTCTTGTTCTTCAATATCTTGCGGTTCTTGTTCTTCGATCTGTTGCTGTAGTTCTGATTCAGGGTTTTCGTTGGATGATTCGGGTTCGGATGGGCGCAGCTTTCGCTTCTTGGCCATGGTTCACCAACGCAGGAGGACAACTGATTAGGGTTTTTTTCTTTTTTCTTTTTGGAGGCTAGGGTTTCAGGTCGGAAGAGTAACGAGTCTCTCTTATCTCTCCCCCTCTATATATATACAGTATATTGGAGTATCAAACAAAGTACTAAAATGCACGTGTTCCTTCTTTGATTTCAGTCCCCCGGTTTCGTTTGAGAAAATTCGAAAGGATAGGAAAGAAATGGAAATAAAATACTTTGTTTGGTTGAAACTAGTAAGGAACGAAAAAGAAAGGGGGGAAAAAGTGACAAAAAAATGATGATTTTTTTTTTTTTTTTGGTTGGATAGATATAAGAATGAAAGAGGGCAGACCATATTGTTTCATCTCTTTAAAATAAGGAAGAGAGAGAAAGGAAAATTTGTTGAAATAATATTTTTAATCTTCAATTTTTAACCAAGGATGTGTTTGGTAAACATCTATGTTTACAGCTGTACAAACCCATTTTTGCCTCCTCTTTTGGTTTTTTTTTTCTTTTTTTTTTTTTTTTTTTTGGAGAAAGGTAAGTAGTAACCACAACACACCTTGCCTCCCTTTTTGTCATCCCAAATCTTTTATTTAGAAGAAATGAACGGGTTTCCACTTCTAAAATCCAATTATCCACTTATCGAACATGCGGCCGAAAATTAAGAACTAGAAATCAAACCGTTTGATCGAAGGTCAGGTTTCACCATTGTACTTAGAATATCCCAAAACCATGGGGTACACCTAGAATCAAGCTAATCACATGATTCCCCATGCCTGAGCACTATTAGCCAACAAAGGGCAAAATGGTAATTTCACACTTTAACCCATCATTTTGATTGTCAGAATAACAAACGGACTACACCGTTATGTTCGAGAGATCCCAAAAATCCTAAGATATACCCCGTTCTAGGATCATAACCCTTTTCTAGTACCCAATTGACCAAACCCTTTAGCAAGGCAAAACGATCAACTAAAAGTTTGACTTTTTGATCCAATGGTCAAAATTGATAAATGGACATGGCCACTGTGCTTAGAAGATCCGAACCTCATGAAGAACATTGTGATATTGACCATTTTCCAATCCAGACCTCCATTTGACCAAAACCCCAAGATAGGGGATAATGTAGTCAATTCAAAAGTTTGACTGTTCGATACATAGGTCAAAGTGACAAAAGGACTTCACCATTATGTTCAAAAGGTCCAAAAACCATGAAAAGCACTGTAACATTAACCATATTCTAATTTAGTCACTCATTTGACCAAAAGGGCTATTCCAAGGGCAAATAAGTCAATTCACTCTGTGATAAGCTTGTCCATACTTAGTTTAGGGGCTAAGTAAGTGACATCACATGCCCGATGTCATGAATGATGTTGAAAATCCTAAAAATCCCTAATTAATTAAAAAAAAAAATGGGTCAAAAGGGCAATTATTGGACTAAGAAGGGCATTTTCATAATTTTGCTGAAGTTGTAGGGGATGTCGCATCACAGGATGCGACACACCCTAAGAGTGGCCAAAATCTAGCCTTTCATTCTCCTTTGGCCTTCAGGAAACAAACTTAGCCCTTCACTTGATACTTAGCCACCAAGAATTCGGGAGTGGTCCTCATTTGCCTACAATTCATATTTTGAACAGTTCCACCCCCTCGCCCCCCCTACCCTCACAAGCTTATATATCCATACATTCTTACTCTCCAACCTCTTTCTACACTTTCTCTCTATATATACACCTCCAAACTCTCTCTACAATTTATCTCTTTATATACACTTATAAGCGCTGAATGTTACACATTCGAGTCCTTAGATTTGCATATTTTAATACCTTGGTAATGTTTGTTTTATATTATTTATGTTATTTTCTTGTTTTTTATTTTTATTTTTAGGTAACCTCCAGAAATTCAGTCAATTCTGTTACTTTTAAGGTTTTTATATCAATCAATGGATGGAGACCGTGAGAGCTAAAGTATCCAAGGTGATCTAATGGTCAAGATCATTCAAGGATAATTTTAGGAGACTTTTAAAGGAGTTTCCAGCAAGCTAAATTCAATTTTGGGTCATTATATGGAGAAAAAAAAAAAAAAAAAAAAAAAAAAAAAAAAAAAAAAAAAAGGTTTCGTATTCCAATAAGGAAATAACTTGAGTAGAAAATTCTAAACCCGCTTCAGTATTTTTTACATTAATTTTTACTCAAAACTCCAAATTGGGAAAACTTAATGGCTCTGGAAAGAAGACTCGAAGCCCATCGTTTTTGTGTCTAATATAAGTTTCAAAATTCGTACTCTAAATAGGACAAAATAGTGTTTCAAACAGATGAAAATATAGAAAACTGTTTGGGATTCTTTCTTTTACCGGGCTTTTTCTATTTCTTTTCTTTAGGAGGAAACCCTACAACATATATATATAGGAGTTTTCCAGCAAAGGAGGAGGAGGAGGATACGAGAGAGAGTTTTGGCGGCTTTTATTGTTTGGAATATTGAATATTCCAATTGGCAGTCCATGGAGATGGCTTCTACACCAACAATGATGATATTCTTCCCTCCATAAGTAGCTAAAGCATTCGTTAGGGAATTGATGTAACCCTAGTCCGAGTAGCATGGTTTAATTGTTCTTAACTTTGGGAATTTTTCTGAATTATGCATATTGGTTGCATAGTTGTGAGCAATTGACTTAGTTGTACTAAACAATTGGGTTTTAATAATTATAATCAATTTTAATAAAATTAATCTATTGTCTTAGAATTTATTTTATTATAATTGAATTAAAACTTTTTTTATTGTGAGAAATTGGTGGCTAAGGGTTTCTTTTTACGGTAGGAGTAGTGATCATGCAATGATGCTTAACGAATGTGTGAATTAATGTTTTGATAATTCATGCCTATGGAAGACGAGTTGTACTACATTTTATATTAGAGTAGTTAGGTAGACAATTCGTGCCAACCGAAAATGAGTTATGGCTTAGTGTTTATTCATATATATCTTTTTAATTGAATTAAAGTGTGCTTGTAGCTACTTAGTTCTCGAATATACATAAGTTTGAATTTTCCCATAGTTGAGATAATTGACCATGTTATGAGGGTAGTGGTGAAATCAATCCCTAAGTTCTTATTCCCTTGATCTCAATACTTATTAATTTAGTTTATTTTCAATTTTATTGCACTTTAGACATAGCTAAACACAAAATCATCTCTCTTCTTGAATTAAATTAGGAATAATTTTATACTTAACAATCCACCACAATCCTTGAGGTTTGACACCCTCAACATAGCCCTATCCTATAAGAATTCGTTCTATTGCGAGTGGTTTTATCATTGATAATACACACATCAATTTTTGGCGTCATTGCCGGGGACTGTGTAACGGTTATTGTTAGGTTAAAGATTAGTTCTAATTTGATTCTTATTTTGGGACTTGTATATATTTTTCTCTTGATTTATTTTTGTTTTCAAGTACAAAAATTTAGGTGCAAGAGATGAAGGAGGTAGTCGAGTTGTTAGATATGGGCTAGAGAGTGACATTTCGTCTTATTAGAGACGTTAAACTTAGCACTCATAGACACATTGTGTCTTGTTTGTAATTGTAAATTTCAATATATATATATATATATATATATATATATATATATATATATTATTTATTTTAAATTTTATTTGTTATTATTATTATTATTATTATTATTTTTTTTTTGTAGTTTTTTAGGTATTTTCTATTTTGTTTATCATGACTTTTTACTCTGTATGTATGTGCTAGTGTGAGAGTGTATTTATTATTTCATACCCTTTGGGTACTTGTTCACTCTCACATGGTGGTGTCTAGTGGCTTTCATTGACATGTTTTTGCATTCAAGTTTGGGGCTACCACATTACTTCACAATTGCTTAAGTTTTGGACGGTTTGATTTTGACATTTATCACTTTTATGGTAATATAGTTCTAACCCTTCTTCTATTTTTGTTCTCATTGTACATTAAGGACAATGTGCAATTCAAGTTTAGGGGTAAGGCAATATAATTGCAAGTTTGTTGATTAATTCTACACTTTTTGAAAAAATTTGCAATTTCTGAATGATAGAGTTGAAAGCATGTGGTGTTAGTAATGATTTTATGCCTGAAGTTAGTTTGATATCCCAAAGCAATTTTTAATGGATTATGTAATACCTCTAATTTTCAGAAGATTTTTAAATGATTTATTTAATTATATTTAATTGTATTTTAATTGATTATGTGGTTATGTGTGTATGTGCTTAAATAATTTAAATTGTTTGATGTGAATTATGTGCTTTATTTGTGTGTATTTGTGTGATATGATCTATGTGATTTAATTATGTAGTTGTTTGTAATTATTTGTTAGTTAAATGTTTAATTGTATATCTTATTTTATTTCATTTTTAATTTAAAAGGAATGAATTTTGATAGTGATAATGGACCAACCAAATGGATCTCATGCACTACTTGGATAAGAAACCTAGATGGGTAAGGATTACGACCCATTGGTATTGGTTATATATATATATTGATGTGTATATATATATATGCATATTGTTATTATTAATAATGAATGAATCAATTACACACACACACACATATAGTAATGTGTATATATATGTATATACGTTTAGTACTATGGTATTATTATTATTATTGATACATAGAGGTATTTATTTATATATATATATATATATATATATATATATATATATATTAAATATATTGTGTATACATACTATTATTATTTTTTTTATTAGGATTATTATTATAGTAATTAGTTTATTTTCCTTTTCTTTTCTCTTAAGTTACGTGAGGTAAATTAGGATTAGTTTAGGTTAGATGTTGTAGCCTATGTGTGTGTGTGTGTGTGTAGTCTGCTAGAGGGTATGTGAGATTTAGAGAGAGAGCAGACAGAGAGTTAGAAAGAGCAAAGAGAAGCCAAGAGTTGAGAGGAAAAAAGAGGTTGGATAGGAGGAGGTGAGGTCACGGCTAAAGGAAGAAGGAGGAGGAGGGCTGCTATAGGTGACGAACCAGGGCAACAGAGTGGAGGACGACGACATCCAAGGCTGCCGGCGTTGAGGAGTTAGCCGGAGAAGGAAAAGGTTAGGTTTTCATTCTAAAACCCTTAAAGGCAAGTTATATGTTCTACTCCTCTCCTTTGATCTAATGTCCAATACATGTTTATGAC